GTTAACTGGACAGTACATTCACCCCCAAAAATATAAGCCTGGAAACTTGTGTTTCAATATAGAATCTTTGGCTTAGATTGTAAAATAGAATAGGTACTTTTGAAAAACAAATTACTTTAACCACCATAAAGGCAACTCATATCATTTCTGATTCTTACCTTTAAGGAAAAAAAGTATAAAGATTAGCTGCCAAAAGCTATTTTGGATATGGAAGGATACTGTGAAAAAAATAAGCAAGGTAATTGTGAGAGAGGAAAGAAGAAAGAAAGTACATTTCTGTGAGGTAGCACTTTCAAAGGGTTTTATCTTAGAAGCTAGTAAACAGATATTAAGTATGTGGAACTGTAGGAGTTGCTGTAAAAATGGAAGCTACAATCTCCACTCTTCAGGAGATTGAAATGTAAGCATCTCCCCAGTTGATGCGGTCCCTTTCCATATTTCCTATCCGAGATAAGGAACTTATCCTTGAAAAATGTCGGTGGACAAATACTTCACTCTTTGCCTCCCATTGTCCTATCCTCTTCTGTTCACACTGGTCTTCCTTAAGAGGACTGGACACAGGTTATAGAAAAATCACAGTTACCCACTCCAACTACCCTCTTCTCTTTAGTCACTGTGTCATTAATAGCATCTCCTCTGTTATATTCTCCCTCCTTTCAGTAGCTCTCCTTTAGGTCTCTAAGCAGGCAAGAATGCTACCTATTAAATGTTTAAATTGGACTCCTTCAAGAGTTCGAGTCTTCATTTTCTTCTTTGCCACTGAAATAATTGATTTCACATATGCTTGATTCAAGGGCGAGCCTGGTGTGCTTGGTGCTCCAGGCACCGCGGGTGCATCTGGTCCTGGTGGACTCCCAGGGGAGAGGGGTGCTGCCGGCATACCTGGAGGCAAGGGAGAAAAGGTACCTCTTGGTTTAGACCTTAATATTGTTGATGAATGCTGGCAAAGAGGGCTACCCAAGGTTGCCCAGTTTTTTACAATTCTTAGTAGGTGGTCTGGTAGCATTTTCATATCTATCTATACACATATCCCTGTGCCACTGAGCACCTACGCATTTCTAAACTCACTAATCTGGCAAAATTCCTTGCTACCATGGAATTTCATGCAAACAGATGGTGTTGAGTAATACATGAGGCTCATTTTAATGCCACTAACAATGATGCTTCATCCTGCCCTAATTAATGGAAGAAGCTATATTGAACAGCTGTCAACCGTGCCGCTGCATTAGTTATGCCATGAGAGTGATCAGGCTCTGAAGCCCATCGTGATGTTGCCTTATAATTCTGTCCACATGAATTTGTACCTTGCTTGATTATGCTTTAGGAGGGTGTATGGCAACTAGAATAGAATATTTAACAATAATCTGGAAAGGGCCTTGAATTATTTTGTCCTTATTTTTTTCCTCACTCGACATCTTACAGAATGGTAGGCAATCAAGCCATTCCTAAAGACCTTAAATAACTGAAGGTCTTATAGCCTCTTCTGTAAAAACACTTCAGATAAATTTTGATTCAAAGATTTGGTTGGAAAACAAAACAGTTGTCTTGCTTTATACTTTCAGGGTGAAACTGGTCTCAGAGGTGAAATTGGAAACACAGGCAGAGATGGTGCTCGTGTGAGTAGAATTTTGTTTGTTTGTACTTAGACTGGTTTTTTCTCTTTTTAGATTTCACTCAATTTGAGTTGGGAAGTTTTCCAAAACAGAACTGCCGATGAAATGATGCAACTTTAGTAAAAGAGTATTCCATTCCTTCCCGGATCTATGACTAATTTATCATTTCACGTGTTCCAAAAGAAAAACTCAATAGGACTCATCCGTTTGAAAATCATAGCCTGAATTTTCTCCCTTCCTTAGCATTAACTATACCAAGTACAAATGACAAACCCAAATCTCTTGGTTTAGTAGAACTTTAAATGATTGTTTCAATTATCATAGAACTTGAGGAAAAACAATAACTCTCACATTTTAAGAAGCTGAAACCTCTAACAAGGTCCTATTCATTCAAATGGATTCCCTAAGAAGTTATTACTCAAATAGCAGCCTCAAAGATTAGTTGTCACTGCTATGGAGATGTCAAAGATAACCCCACAGGGGTATAGCAGCCCTACCCAGACTGCTGCCAACAAGGCTCTGCTGGGTCACAGGTGTCTCAGCTCTTTATTCCTGGTTGTCCCTCCAAGCTGATAACTCACTAGGACATATTCATGATAGTCCTTTCTCGGAATCACAAAGGCCTAACAGTTCCAAACAAGGCTATCTCATTTGTTGCTCTCCAGGGAATTTTACAAGAGCAGAGTGTTTGATCTCCCGGGTTCCTAACCTGCCCTTGGCTTACACATTTCCATAACCTTTATCACTGGGGTACTCTTCTACTGAGAGCCGCTTCTAATGGTCTTGAATTATTTTGTCCTTATTTGTCCAGATCATTAGAACTGAAATGCATGAAAGGTTTCTCGATGTCTACCCAGAGTGTGCAGTAAAAGTGTTCAGTCATTGTATGGAGAAATGGCAAGCGTCATTTTTGGTGGTGTGGGGTATCACTCGTAAGACTTGTTTCCTTCTTGGTACTAGGGGGCTCCGGGTGCTGTAGGTGCTCCTGGTCCTGCTGGAGCCACTGGTGACCGGGTAAGCATACATTTTCACTAAGTTGCAACTTTCTGAGCTGGTAGCAGTATCTAAAATTTCCTGCCTACTCTAGCTCCAAGGAACCCCAGCAATTCATTTTTATGGCTTCTTTGGTATAAGGAGCACTTATATAAAACCTGTCTGTTGGGATGGGGCAGCAGGAAACAAGCGCTGCATGTTTAAAGTTCTCTTTCCCTTCCTATAGATGTGCCAGCTATCTGATCTATACTTTAATCCCTATCATTTGTTTTAAAGTCTTTTCCTGTGGCCAGTTAACAATATCCTAATGCACTGAGCCTTCTCAAAGCCTTCGATTGAAAAAAAAATCAATAAAATACATAGTGTGCCCATTTCACATCCAACTGTCCACTTAAAATAGACCTTATTTATTGTATTGTAGGATTGCAGCAAATAGATCTGCCCTGTAGTCCATCTAAAAATTAAAATGTCCTCCTCCTGGTATTGTGGACACTGATTTATAGTGTCTTTGCAAATGTATGACTGATACCACTTCAACCCCCAAAATGAATACAACATTAAGCAGAGCAAGAATCCACTTCATTTTACTCTGTGAGATGTGTACTAGCTATCTCTTACCATGCAACTGCAAACTCTGTAAAGAGCCCACTGTCTACCATGTTCTCTGTGCTTCCCACCTCTTTGTGAGGTGGGAATATATATGTGAGGCATGTTAACAACTTCACCTTTGGTCCCATTATAGGGTGAAGCTGGTCCTGCTGGTCCTGCTGGTCCTGCTGGTCCCCGTGGTAGCCCTGTAAGTAGAAACCTGGGTCATTTTGGACACCCCGAACTTTTAGGCAATCTAAGATTGCTAAGACATTTTCTTAAACCCCTTGCCCCACCTAGGGCGAGCGTGGTGAGGTTGGTCCTGCTGGCCCCAACGGATTTGCTGGTCCTGCTGTGAGTATTTCGTCATGAACTAAAGGTCAATCTGAAAACATTCCAAGTTGTCAAGCAGAGTAGTTGGAATACCTGAACTATATATCACTGTTCCTTTCCAACAGGGCGCTGCTGGGCAACCTGGTGCTAAAGGAGAGAGAGGAACCAAAGGGCCTAAGGGTGAAAACGGTCCCGTTGGTCCCACAGGTCCTGTTGGATCTGCTGGCCCATCCGTAAGTTGATTTACTGGTGGTCAACACAGCCTGTGTAGTTACCCATGAAATCTTGTAATTCAGCATATATCAATCAAGTGCCTACTGTACACCAGAGAATATACCAGAAAGATGATTTTTAAAATAAGAATCAATATGTGTATACCATTTTACTATTTATTAAAGTTTCATAAATATTGTCTTATCTTACTTCATCAACCCCTCCATGACGGTGGTAATATTGAAGTAAGGACATTTATTTTAAATTAAACAATCACTTTTAGTTTCTGGACTTGCTTCTAATAGAGATGGGAATGATAACTTCAAAGAAAAGAGTAACATTTATGAGCACTGTTTTGTGATTTGATCCCATTTTTGTGTTGTTCTCTCCACTTAGGGTCCCAATGGCCCCCCTGGCCCTGCCGGAAGTCGTGGTGATGGTGGTCCCCCTGTGAGTATTTACGATGGACTCTGATAACCTTTCATCCTTCAGAATCTAGTAGGGACAACTTGAAAGTTGCAAATTTGGGGTAAATTTGGAGTTTAATAAGGAGACTCTTGAGATTCAAGTTAACTCCATACAGAAAAATTCTGATAAGTTACCGTCAGGTTCACAACTTAGTAACCCAGCTGGGGCTCAGTGCCCTGGATGTTGCCACCTCCTCACCTGAAGTAATAGCCAAAGTTAACCCCAAGAAGTCTTAATTGAGAAAAGGGCAAAATATTTCTTTGCTTGCTTGTTGTTCTTTGGCTGATGCCCTGCTGCTTCTGCCTGGCCAAGCCCTTTCCCTTGGCACCCAGTGCTGGCACACTGACTCCCTGGAGAGCCAGAATTCCCCAGGAATGAACCGCCCTGATTCCTTCCTTCTCTCATTGGACAGCAATTAATACCCTTGGCCTTTTGTTGTACTTTCCTCTGTAAACAAAATTACTTATTCTGGTCCATTCCCTTAGCACTCATCCAGATGGTTATTCATGTACACACATCAGTGTATAATAATGGGATAAGGTAATACGTTAGCATTTCCAAAAGAACCATTAGAGCCTTAATGCAAAATACGGGCATTGCAATTTGGCAGCATGCTGGTAAAGGAGATGTGTGGAGATGGAGGGTCTTTGTGGTCCTATATGAGGCTGCCACTACCTACTCGTTGGTCCATCCTTGGTCACATGTGTTGAGGATTTGCCAGGGGAGAAATGTCCATCTTACCCGAATCCCTGGAGTTGGTGTTGACTGTGGAATTTTAATGTCCTTGGTTCTTAGGGTGCTGTTGGTTTCCCTGGTGCTGCTGGACGTACTGGTCCTCCTGGACCCTCTGTAAGTAAATCACTTCAAAATACATCTTCATTTACTCTAGCCACGAGACCTGGCCTCTAGTAGGAAACAAGTAAGAAACTCTGAAAACATGTTATTAATATTTTGCTATTACTTCCCTGGGCTGAAATTAGTTTTTCTGAACCGTTAAGGCAAAAACATCACACACTGTATTGTATATTGGTTTAAAAGGCTTTTATTCACATGAACACAAGTCCCCTTGTAGAGGAATGAACTCTGTTAAAAATAAAAAACAGATCAGTTTTAGTCACATATCAGATATTTCTATATCTAATTACCCTTTATGGCCAACATTCTGCCTCCATTCTTAGGGTATAATTGTTCCTGAATTTAAAGGTGGTTTGGCCTCTAATTTAATTCTGATTCAGACTCTTCTGTCAGGACTCAAGAGAATTTAATTAATTACCAGGGATTAAGTCTTCCAGTTATGGTTTCAGGGAAAAAAAAATAGCAAAGATGTTGATTTCTTGGAATCCTTTTACAGGTTCATAACAGAAAAATCTTCATTCCCTGTAGGCATTTAATTAAACCTAGTTGAGAGCATATGTGATTCCTCAATTATAAACAAAATGCTAGTATTGACTTTCTTCAAAAGAAATGTGCAGAGTCTCCAAAATCCAAAGTCCTATTCATTTAACACTAACTCTCATAACTCTATAGTTCTTATGCCAATATGCCAGGTACCTGGTGGCACAGTAACCTCGCAATACTTGCCATAGGCTCTGCCTCTGTTGTTCACTTTGTTACAGCCTCAGGAGAGAGATGCTTCTCTCTGCATACAAGAAAGAATGTTAAAAATTCTAAGTATCTCCCCAAAATGGACAGGATATTATCTTGTTGCTTGATATTGTTTGTATTTTAATATCTAGACTTTCCTCTGCTGCTCTCTTCCCAGTCTGTGATGATTAACATAAAGTAAATGACCTTGAACATGTGCTCACAGGGTATCACTGGCCCTCCTGGTCCCCCTGGTGCTGCTGGTAAAGAAGGACTTCGTGGGCCTCGTGGTGACCAAGGTCCAGTTGGCCGAACTGGCGAAACAGGTGCATCCGGCCCCCCTGGCTTTACTGGTGAGAAGGGTCCCTCTGGAGAGCCTGGTACTGCTGTAAGTGATTTCAAACTCCTTTCTTAATATCTTGTGTTGAATTAAAATAAAGCCCTTACACAGAGCTTCAAGTGGCATATACTTGTTGATGAGATTTCAGGTTCTTAAGTGTAGTTCAATTTAGCAAAGAAATCTATCCCACAGATGCTGAGGTGTCATAGCTGCAGTATATGCCTTGACAGTACTATAAGGGCACTCTGGTTTTATCACAACAACCCTTTAAGCTGTTGAGGGCATCTTACTGGTACCAAAATTAGAACAGAATCCCAGTGCCCTGGTCATCCTATTACAAATTAATCAATCTCAGTAAGCTATCAATTCCTTAAACATGCATTGCCCAGTATTACTGCTACTCTGATATGTGCCTTTACTAGACCTGGTTCTGTTTAGAGATCAAGGTCAAAATTTGCTTCTTAGCATAGATTCTATAAAAATTATTCCACCACCTCAGATGGCTTCATTAACCTCAGTCACATGTTTTTTAATATGGTTCCATTCATTACCAGGAGGAACCAGGTACAAAGAAATACACATGCCAGGATTAAACTCATTGTTATCTCTACAGAAAAGATATCCAAGAATATGTCCTACTAACAGGAGGTCTCTAGCCCTTTTCTAAACCGGATAGCTCATTCTCATAACCCTCAAGCCAACCTGTGTTATCACCTAGGTTCTTGCCAGTAAAACTCAGTGTTGTTCCTCTTGTTCAGGGACCTCCTGGCACCTCAGGACCTCAAGGTATTCTTGGCGCTCCTGGTATTCTTGGTCTCCCAGGCTCTAGAGGTGAACGTGGTCTACCAGGTGTTGCTGGATCCTTGGTGAGTGTTTAACATCATTCGTTTTCTCATTAACATAATAAAAGATTTTAAAAGCTGCCACTTCAAATGTGACAGATTGATCACTGAATAACTGCACTTAAGACTTTTTATTCATGGCATTTTCTTTATACAGATCACATGTCACTTATCTAAGAAGCTTTAATACCCCCTTACTTAGACACACACCATAAAGACATAGCTTAACATTATGCAGAATAATTTTTGTTCTTTTTACATGCTTAAGAATGATATAGGCTCTAATTGCATTTACTCCTCTGCAGTATGAAATGCTGGCATCATTTATCCTGTAGGAAGAATGAAACTCTGGAAGTTCTGAATCATTCCATTAAACATTATATGTGACAGCAACTAGGAATGATCTCATCTCCATAAACTCTTTCAACTGTATGAATTCATTTCACTTAGGAGAGTGAATGAAACTAGGCTCACTTTTTACAGAGCAACATTCCAAAATAACATAAAGCTGACCATTTAAGTGTGTAGGAGGAAGGCAAGGATAACACTAATACTAATGATACTTCTTTACCATTTTGTGGCTCATTCACTGCTAATTCACCTTCTCCTTTCAGACTGGAATCTGCTGGCCGGGGTTCTTTTAGGAGGGTAAGATGGGCATTCAATCCAATGAGAGGATTGTTGCTTGTCTTCTCTGCTTTTTTAGGGTGAACCTGGTCCTCTCGGCATTTCAGGCCCACCTGGGGCTCGTGGTCCCTCTGGTGGTGTGGGTAATCCTGGAGTCAATGGTGCTCCTGGTGAAGCTGGTCGTGATGTGAGTCCAACACTTGGCTTGTTAAATAAAACCTAGAAGTATTTCACTGTGTGCAGCTTTAAATTCTGAGCTGAGGTTCTCTTGTTCCAAGTTTCTGAGCAAGATGGTCTGTTTCTCCATAATATCTACCTGCACTGACCATTCCTAGTATTGTAAAAGTGAAAAACTACTTGGGCTGGGGTATGGGTCTTTAAAGAACATACTTCAAAGTTGGCCAAAATATTAAAAACACCTCTAAAAAAATTTAAGTTGGCAAGTTCTTATTCCTACTTTTTAACAGTCAGAAAGGGGGTTCACTACTGAGCCCTGGGTGTGACAAAGACAGAATAGCTGAATTATAGGGGCTTGTGGGCTACAGAGTCTCACTAAGTGCCTTCATGGCTGGGGTATCTTCACAGGGCAACCCTGGAAACGATGGTCCCCCAGGCCGTGATGGTCAGGCTGGACACAAGGTCAGTACACCTGTTCATCCTTCCCTAATTTAAAAGCAACTAAAACACAGGTCAGATTGATGTTCAGCTTCATTTTGCCTTTTGTAGGGGGAGCGTGGTTACCCTGGCAACCTTGGTCCTGTTGGTGCTGTGGGTGCACCTGGTCCTCATGGCCCCGTGGGTCCCACCGGCAAACATGGAAACCGTGGTGAACCTGTAAGTGTGTCAATACCTGGTCTCTTACTGTTGTCATCCTCATAGGCTTCACTTCTGACCTCCCACACTTGGGAACTGTGGGGACCTGGGAGGAGGATCCAGAGTTTGACTGATAAATGGCATTTTTCTTTTCCAATTCACAGGGTCCTGTGGGCTCCGTTGGTCCTGTTGGTGCCATTGGTCCAAGAGGTCCTAGTGTATGTACCTGGGGAAGAGTTCTCTACAAACAAACATTTAAGGAGGATCATTCCAAACTGTCTATTAAGAAAATGAATAATATATGGGCTAGACTTCCTATTTTTAAAAAATTTAGTCCATGTTGAGAATTGCTACAAATAGCTTTTAAATGTCTTCTATTTCACATCTCCTCATGTTATATTAAACAATCACAAAAATCTAGTCACTTTAGAGACAGCTCAACTAAAGCAGATTATGGGAAGAAATGGGAGTAGCACTCGCATGACTTTTAGACCTTTGTCTTGAGTTACCTTTGTAAACAGATCAAGCAATGTTTGTGGAGAAGTGAGTGTCATTTTTCAAAGAAGGCAAACGACCTATCTGTCCTTCTTTTTCTTCACAGGGCCCCCACGGTATTAGAGGTGATAAGGGAGAGCCTGGTGATAAGGGGCCCAGAGGTCTTCCTGGCTTAAAGGGACATAATGGATTGCAAGGTCTTCCTGGTCTTGCTGTAAGTAAATGTGGACATCCAGCATTTATACTATGGATCTTAGAGTCCTTCAGCTCAGAATGATCTCCCTCAAATTTCCACTGCTTTGTTCTAAAATGTCTGACATCATATTTATTTCCCATTTTCTGGCTAATTCCATCTCTCAGAGATAATGCTATTTCGTCCCAAATGTGAAAAGCTGAGGGTTAAGGGAGATAGAAATATACATATGTTAAAATCTCCTGGTAACAATGTCCTTCAACCCCATTTAAAATAAATATGATTAGAGAAATGACTAATATTGCATTGCTGAAATAGCTTGTAAGAAAAAAAATAATTGAACATAATAGACATAATGGGAGAAAAGAGCTCCATTTTAAATTTTCAATTTTCTGAATCCAGAGTCCATTGAAACTAAAGTTTTCCATTCAGTTCTATTTATTGACACGTGTTCTGAAAGTGTGATTTCCCTGCTCTCTTTAAAGGGTCAACATGGCGATCAAGGTTCTCCTGGCTCTGTGGGTCCTGCCGGCCCTAGGGTAGGTCAATCTAAAAGATAGTTTATGTCTGAAACAGAGCTTACAACAGACAGTGAGCCCCAAGCCTCTGCCCCCTTGTGGGGTTTTCACTGGCTCATACAGTCTTGGTGTCTTCCCTCCTCAGGGCCCTGCTGGTCCTTCTGGCCCTATTGGCAAAGATGGTCGCTCTGGACATCCTGGAACAGTTGGACCTGCTGGCATTCGTGGCTCTCAGGGTAGCCAAGGTCCTGCTGTAAGTATGATTTGGAGAAGTAATAATGAGAATTACTAATTTAAGGAATATTTTCTTCAGATTAAACCAGGACAATCATGACAACACATTGAAGTAGTTCCCCACTTTTATATGTTTTCTAAATATGTTAAAATTTTTTGCATGTAGTGAGTTGTTTAAACCTACCCTTGCAAGTATGCCTGAGAGCAAACTGTTATTTTACATGAACTTGATTCTTTTTTACTTATTAGAACATGTTTCTGTGTGATGCTTAACTGAAAACCTGCTATCATTGATGTCTCTCATTATAACCAAATACAAGAGATTCTGCTTTCTCACTTTCACCTTTGTAGGGCCCTCCTGGTCCTCCTGGCCCCCCTGGACCTCCAGGCGCAAGTGGTGGTGGTTATGACTTCGGTTATGATGGAGACTTCTATAGGGCTGACCAGCCTCGTTCACCACCTTCTCTCAGACCCAAGGATTATGAAGTTGATGCTACTCTGAAATCTCTCAACAACCAGATTGAGACTCTTCTTACTCCTGAAGGCTCTAAGAAGAACCCAGCTCGCACATGCCGTGACTTGAGACTCAGCCACCCAGAGTGGAGCAGTGGTAGGTCAAGATGCCCAAGCCAAGACTGACCCTTCTCACAAGCTGACTTTTCAAAATCAGTTCCCACTACATTTAGAATGAAAAAATATTTGGCTAAAAAATGCGAAATCATACCCAATTGATGAAGCATTTTCTTCTCCCAACCACCTATTCTCAAGCTTCAGTTCATATATATTTTGCCCTTTTCATGTTAATGTGTGCCCTGATTTGATTTCTCATTGAGGAGAGGAGAGAAGGAATCATCTAATCTTGAAAACAGCCATCCTCCTCCTGTTAAATATGGGGTAGACAATATAACAGAATAATAAAAAATGTTATTTGTGGGAATCAAAATCTTTGACTCCTAATATTAGAACCTATGTCCCATTCACTGAATGATTTTATGGTCTGGTTTTTATTTTCTTAAAAGGTTACTACTGGATTGACCCTAACCAAGGATGCACTATGGACACTATCAAAGTATACTGTGATTTCTCTACTGGCGAAACATGCATCCGAGCTCAACCTGAAAAGATCCCAGGCAAGAACTGGTACAGAAGTTCCAAGGCCATGAAGCACGTCTGGGTGGGAGAAACTATCAATGGTGGGACCCAGGTGAGGAATCCCTCCAAACATTTCTCCCCTACTAAATAGTATCTTTTCTTAGGATCATTTGCTTTTAAATTATCTATATTTTTAATTTTTACCAAAATGGATTGCTGTTTTCTCAGGTTCCAGTTCTATCCTGAATTGGACTTTAAAGATGGGTTGATTGGACATATCCATGCAACTCAGTTATTGTTCAAATTTGACTTAATTGATAAGCGTTCAAGAAACTGACTAATGTCATTTAGTACAACAAAATACTGGCCAGCATACAGCTCTGTAATCATGCATACATATTTTCAGAACATGAACTTCTCTAAACTTTTTATCAAACTTTTTCACGAACTTTGCTGAATGCCTACTGGTAGGGATTACAGAGAAGAAAGAGGTCCAAATCTCAATATAATGGCTCTCTTATCTAAGGAAGAAACATACACATAAAGGCTTATCTGAAATAGGCACCTTTTTGAGGTGACCCTGCCTCAGCCTGGTAGTTGCTATGTCTCTTCTTGGTAACTACTACTTCAAAGACAAGTGAATTGGGTTTCCTTTAAAAGTATCTCTTACCTAAGGTTCAAATCTGAGTCCATTTTTCCTCCCTATACCAGACTTTTTTTAAAAATTTGGTTCTTAGTATCTGAGTCCTTCTCCACTTAACTGGAATTCTCATCTTATTCTCTGCAGTTTGAATATAATGTTGAAGGAGTAAGCACCAAGGAAATGGCTACTCAACTTGCTTTCATGCGCCTGCTGGCCAACCATGCCTCTCAAAACATCACCTACCACTGCAAGAACAGCATTGCATACATGGATGAGGAGACTGGTAACCTGAAAAAGTCTGTCATTCTACAAGGCTCCAATGATGTTGAACTTGTTGCTGAGGGCAACAGCAGGTTCACTTACACTGTTCTTGTAGATGGCTGCTCGGTGAGTAGTAGTGAAGTCTGGGACTAGCGTTTATTTGGGTAGAGGGGGCTGGAGTGCCAACTTAGACCACTAAACGAGCACACAGATGAGACACTTAACTGATTTGATCTTTTTTTCATAAATGGATTTATTTAAATTCAGATGGTAAACCCAGACCACTCATCAGGTCTTGCCTTCTGAAATTGCCTGCAGTACAGAAACGCACACTCTGTACATGTATTAGTTGTTTTTATTTTCACATGTTTCTTAAATAATAGTGTATGCCCATGACTTAAAATTACTTTAGGTTTAAAGGGCCCAAGCTATAATTTATAGCTATGAGTCTTTTATTCTACTTATTGGTATGGCCTACAATTAATTTTTCTTTATGCTTTTTCTACAATATGCTATAAATTGAAGAAAAATTAAAATTCACTAGTACCAGTACTACATACTCACCCAAGGCTCCCTGCTGACACACACATCCTGAAAATGATAATGTAGGAACAAAGCACTTGCAATATGTATTAAAATGTTTTGTTTTGTTTTTTAAAAAATAGTAGCCTGGTAGGAAACCTCCCCCTAGAGGTACCCCTGATGCAGCTGTTTCAAAGACACACTTCTTGATCTGGGACACGTGTCTTCAGAAAAGCTGAAGAGTGATTCTTATAATATCTAAGATTCAGATGACATTAGATACAGAAATAGTATTGCTTTATGTACATTTTTTTAAATCTCTTTTAAACAGAGAAAGACAAATGAATGGAGAAAGACAGTCATTGAATACAAAACAAACAAGCCATCTCGCCTGCCTATCCTTGATATTGCACTTTTGGACATCGGTGGTGCTGACCAAGATTTCATTGTGGACGTTGGCCCAGTCTGTTTCAAATAAATGAACTCAACCTAAATTAAAAGAAAAAAAGAAATCTGAAAAAAACTTTCTCTCTTTGCCATTTCTTTTTCTTCTTTTTTAACTGAAAGCTGAATACTTCCATTTCTTCTGCACATCTACTTGCTTAAATTGTGGGCAAAAGAGAAGGAGAAAGATTGATCAGAGCATTGTGCAATATGATTCAATTAATTCCCTCTCCCTCTTCTCCTCCCCAAAAGATTTGGAATTTTTTTCAACACTTTTACACCTGTTGTGGAAAATGTCAACCTTTGTAAGAAAACCAAAATAAAAATTGAAAAATAAAATAAAAACAATGAACATTTGCACCACTTGTGGCTTCTGAATATCTTCCACAGAGGGAAGTTTAAAACCCAAACTTCCAAAGGTTTAAAACTACCTCAAACACTTTCCTATGAGTGTGATCCACACCATTAGGTGCTGACCTAGACAGAGATGAGCAGAGGTGCTTCTGTCTGTTCAAAACACAAAGGTGCTAATTAATTGTATTTCAGATACTTGAAGAATGTTGATGGTGCTAGAAGACTTTGAGAAGAAATACTCCTCTGTTTGGAGCTGTATTCTATATTTTTTATTTGATTTAGCATCATTATTTTACATCTTACCCCCAAATAAAAGTATGCAGATCCTTTGCCCAACATTGTCCTCTCCTTTAAATTCAGCATTTGTTCTTTGCCGGCCTTGTTTTCATCCACTTCCATGGTACCAAAGAAGCCTTGTTTCTCAGACGAGCAGAAAAACTAAATTGTACCTATTTTGTATATGTGAGATGTTTAAATAAATTGTGAAAAAAAATGAAATAAAGCATGTTTGGTTTTCCAAAAGAAAACACTGAGTAGAATTCCTTGCTTCTGTGATCTTTGCAATATAAGAATGGACTATAGCATCTCTACCAGACATTAGACTAAGTGTTTCTCATTAGGTAGAAACTATGCAAAAAAGGCAGTTTGGCATACAGAGAATAAGGATCCAGAAGACCTGTTCTGACTCTGTTCCTTGTGGCTGAATGACCTAGAACACTTCATCCCTGAGTTTTGATTTTCCAATTTACAATATGAAGAAGAGTCCTTCTCTGAATTATTAAACATTTGCCTTGCTCAAAATGCATAATACTTAAGCAACATGGCATTGTTGACCTAAATTTACTCTAAGCAGAGGACCATAGAACCTTTTGGTTTATTATCCATTAAACACTTTGAAACAGTGGCTGAAAGTTGGTCTGTGCACAATTAATACTATTAACTAAAACAGTTTCAAATATTCAGGAAAGATGCCATACACTTAAATCTGATGCAACCGAGTACAATGCCTGTTAAGAGGTAATGTGTGTGCTGTCAATCGGCATAGACAGTTGTGGATAATAGTACCATGCACACACCTACCTGCCAAATCAAATTCATTTTCCTCCACTGTACCTTTCAATGACATCTTTGATACACTTAAACACAGTAATGTGTCAAGTAAAACGTTAAGATTCATTTAGAGCTTACTTCCTGTTCAGAACATAATTGTGATTATAATATTTGTCTCCTGAAATAAGTCATCTCAAGACTAAATTAGTTTTAAAAGAAAAAAACTGAACATGACAAAAAATCTAACATTAACACTAAGAAGTTTGCAAAGTTTACCAACCGAATGATAACTTCAAATTATGGTCCTTCTACTACTTGAATCAGAACACTGGAATGCTTATTAAAATGTAGATTCCCAATTCTCATCTACCAAATTAAGAATTAGTAAGGAATCAGTATTCTTAAGTACTCTGCAAAATTCCAATGTGCACCAGTTGGAAAACCACTGGATAAGGTGATTTCCACAATCTGTAGCTCTAACATTTTGACTGGAAAGAATGAATCAATATACCTGAAAAAATGATATAAAGAAAACTAAACCCCTGTGATCAAATTAGAAATCCTCATTGAAATGGCCAAGGCAAACTTTCATAATAAGCAGTTAGAAATCTCCAGATAAAATATATGCTATACCCTCAGGTTTGCAATACAAGAAACAGCCCTAAGTTTGGCATAAAGAAGGGGAAAAGAGAAGAAGGAAGAAAACCAACATTTACCAAATACCCACTGTGACCCAGCTATGCTAGATGATGATGATAATGACCTTTATCAAACTGAGTTCAAAGAAGTAGATTTCCTAAGCTAACGGTCACCTAATCATTTAATCATCAGTGGAAGACCTCAAGAAAATAGCCAAATAAATAATGGTATATCTGAGAGATAACAATGAGGAAATAAATAGTGGTATATCCATTAAATACCAATGAGGAATTAACAATGGTATATCTAATGAACAATAGCAAGAAAAATAATGGA